TTTGGGGAGTGAGGGAGGGTTGGGTAGCTATTTTTTTTTTTTTTTTTTTTTTTTTTTTTTTTTACAATTAGTCACCAAACTTTCTCAAAAGCTGCTAAAGCTATTAGCAGATGGCTGCTCTGGGATGTGTGGTGACTGAATAATCTGTGTAGTGGCCCCCTGCTGGTATCACCAATGACTCTCCCTCCTTTAATGCACTGAGCTGCATATCACTTTGACTTCTTTTTCTAAAGTTGAATTTTGATTTTCCTTGAATAAACACCATAAATGTACCGCCTGAAGCCAGGCCCTATGTCCTGGAACCCAGGCAACAAATGGACAATGAAACATCTGTAAACATTTTTCTGTGGAGAGAGAGAGAGAGAGAGAGAGAGAGAGAGAGAGAGAGAGAGAGAGAGAGAGAGAGAGAGAAGGAAACTTATCCAAAGCAATTCATCTGAAAAGTAAACTTTCTTATTCAAAACTGTAGAAAAGAGAGTGTTTCTAAATATTCGGGGTTTGAAGTGTTGAAGTGGGGAAGTGGACATCTCTAAGTCATTGCCCTCCTTTGAAAATACCAAAGGCTGGGTTTTGGCTAAGTTAGGGAGCTGAGAAAAACAAGGAGGAAGTCTTTGGCTTTGATTTAATCTAAGCTACTAAGGCTAATGTTTTAAATAATGCCTCCCTTTTGATTGGATATAGGACAACTCAGCATACTTTGACCTACTTGGCTCTATTGTAGTAAAATCTAGGACAAATATGACAGTAAGTAATATACATCCCCAATCTAAAAAAAATAAAATAAATGCTTTTACAGATTGATTTGCTTTCTCTGCTCAGTTTAGTTTTTCTCTTTTCAAGAATAACTTTTCTCCAACAAAACATACCAAGAGTGTGTTTAACAATAAGGCAATTTAATTAGCTGTTCTGAGCAGTTAGGTAATTTGATTAAGATTATATTGTCTGGTAAATTAATTAAACCTATATAAAAGTATATCTATTTAGATAAGAGCATGTGCCCTTCTGGCCTTCACACTAGAATATGGTCTCTTGGAAGTTCCTTAACTCTGTTGAAATATTTTAAGTATTAAGTCAGTATTTGCAAAGTTTTGTTTCTCAGAGAACTACAGAGATTTCTCAGAACACTATGGAAAATCATGATATCCAAAAGTTAGTGTTCAAAATTCCATGAGTACAATGCAAGCTTCTCTATAAAAGATCCTTCTTGTAAATAATAAAGGGATCATGATAATGGTGTTAGCAAATACATTTTTTTCTTCTTACCAATGAAGAAGAAAAAGAATAAAAATGAGAATGAGAATGAAGAGAAGGATAAGGAGAATGAAGAAGAAGAAGAAGAAGAAGAAGAAGAAGAAGAAGAAGAAGAAGAAGAAGAAGAAGAAGAAGAAGAAGTTCTTTCTGACTCTCAGAGAGGACAACCAGTTGTCTAGTACTTAGGGAAACTACAGCTTTTCTCCCTCTTTTAAGAAACAGTCCTTCTGTTCTTTGCCTCAGAGTCTCAAGGTTTACTTCTTACATAATTGTAAAGTAATCCCCAGTAGGGTGTTAGCTGATGGCCTTAGGGTGTTGCCACCTCCAAAGTTATTTGCATTTTAATGTAAGGCTTTAAAAGAACTTCAAGCATCAAGTCTGAGAGCAATAAATCTCTATTGGTGGAATTTGAAGCAATGTGATAGATTGGTCAGGAGATATATGTGGTGAAAGGAGCCCACTGGGTTTATTCTAATCACAGCATGAATTAAAGTGTTCCTACTTAGTGGTAGCCTGACTTTTGCTTCCAAAGTGAAAGTTGTGAGGACAGCTCCTGTGGCCTGAATAATGAAGTACTCCTTAGTAGTTTCATTTTCTCTAAAAGCAAAACAAGTCAAAGGGCTAAAAGTTCAAATCTTTGAACTTTACTTTCTCTTCTTATTTTCTTTTTGGCTGTCCCCAAATGTATACCTTCTTAATCATACTTGAGGTGTACAGCTTTGTTCATACGTTCTCCAAATTCCAGACTCTCTCTCTGTGTGTGTGTGTCTTTCTTTTATTTATTTTCTAGAGACTTTTTTGATTACTAAAATTGACAGGCCAGGGTACTTGTGAAGTCTAGCGGTGAAGAAAGTAGATTACCCAATAGTCTTAAATCTAAAAAAAAAAAAAAAAAAAAAAAAAAAAAAAAATATCAAAGATACTGTCTTATTTGTCCACAATGAAATTCTGAGTAAAACAGATTCAGGACTGACAGAGTGATAAGAGCATGACCACACTGATTTTGGGCTATCCTCACACACAAAGCCCGAAGCCTGAAGAGATGACACAGAACAAAGTGTAGGACTTAGCTAGGCTATGTGGAATGGAGGCTACATTTTCATAGGGATAGTAACAGAGGAAAACTTCTTTAAAATTGTGTAATGAGAGACCCAAGCCACCTACTGTTCAGCTCAGTGTATTGGTACAGGATCTGTAATGCTAACATGTGGAGGGCCAAGGAATGTATGAAATAAGTTGAAAATCATGCTTCTGATATATAATGTAACCTTTCAACAGAAATGAGAATGATTTAAAAAGAGGGTAAGGCATTGAGTAGAACCCATATAAAATAATACATAAATGATAAAATAAAATAGTAAAACTGAATAAGGAGATTGGGCCAAGTATTAAAGGGTCTTTACTAACATCATGGGTTGAGAGTCCAATAAGGAAGATATTTTTAACTATCTATCTATATAATATTTCTCTGAAATAAATTTGAAGTGCTATCTATATATGAGGCTCAAGATTAGGACCAAGTAGGAGGTAGGTCATAGAATAGATGGGGAGTCTGTAACAGTGGACCAAATAATAGAAAAAGAATGATCTGGAACAGGAGTGTGACATAGACAAGGACAAAAAGAGATGTCATCGCAAAGATGATATTTAAGCATGCAAAAGAAGAAAGGATTTATCCAAGTATGGACACTCGACTTAGTCAGTCAGTTGTGATTTTGCTGAACAAGGGAAAAAGAAATGGATTTTAATGGGGCAGTTGCTGAGTTCAGATTTGGATAAGCTGAGTCTTAGCTTATTATAGAACATCTAAGCATGGATGTCAACTAGATGGGCATCAATCTGTCTGCATCCCAGAGGAAGTTCTGGGCTGTAGGCATATGTTGAGCTATTAGTCCTAGCATCTAAATGATGACAGTAGAAGAGTTTACTCAGGGAGAATGGATACTGTCAGAGGCCTGTACATTGATCCCAAGCAAATGATCAGTTACAAAGCCAGAAGAGTCACAATGAAGAATAAGAATAATAGCTGGAAAGATACATGACAGCAATAAGCAGGAGGGTATCCATATTGATTTACAAGGCAGATAAAGTTGCAAATAAGCCTCCTGCTCTCATTCCAATGGCCTCCAGGATCTAATGCTAGGCAATAAGTCTAGCAGTTTCAATCTATGTTTCTCTTGCTTTGCTTTTTGAGTTGTGTCAGTTCAACAGAAGTGACACTACTCATCGATGAGTTCTATGGTTCCATCAGGGAAGCATGCTTTTCATCAACACATTTAACATCCATTGGACTTCTCTTCTAATGTTTCCCTTGCAATCTTTCTTTACTGAAAGTAGAAGTCTCATCTTCTATACTATACTCCTTTAGTACACAGATTGCAATGTTTATATGGAACCTAGCACATTACAATTACATCATAGTTATTTGTGAAAAAGATTCTTCCCTCTTGGCAAGAATATAAGCTCCTGAAGATGAAGAACTCACTCATACAAATTATTCTCCATAGTGCACTGTTTTGAAAACAGCAGGTACTTAGTAATTATTTGCTCAATGACCACATGTATTACTTACATAAAATAAGAGAAAGAAGTTTTGTTTTTTAATCTTTTGATGAAGCAAGGGAGTTCAACATAGATAAACAAAAATGCTTGAAGACAAAGGATGGATATATCTGATGATTTTAATATACCTAGGCACATATTGGCCAAATAAATAAGGAAGAGACTATCAAAATACATTTATAATGTTGAGGCAAAAATAGAACAATGTTAAGCATTCTTATTTGTCTCAAAGACTACAAATGCTACATTTTTGGTGGCATTTTCTTACAAAAATAGCATATAATTATCTCTGTATTTGCTTTTGTAACTTAAGAAATTAATCTTCTAATGTATATGTTCAGAGCAAGAAGTGCTAACAATAAGCATGTTTTTATTTTTCCTAAAGGCAAATTTAAGGTGCTGTATAAGCAGATTCTCAATGATGTCCTACAAAAAATCCCAAGCCTTTAAAATTTTATCTTGTATATAAAAGTAGGACAATTTTGTAGGATTGTTCAGTTAAATAGAATAAGGGTTAAATGATAACTTGACTTATCTTTTACATGACAAAAAATAAAGAAATTGCAAGACCTTTTCACACATTAGAGATGTATTGTCATTTATCATCTAGATATCAGGCTAGCAGTGCGAAGTAATAAAACATATCATCGAAAAATGTGCTATAGGTCTGAATCATTCTTTCATTCCACCTCCCAGCTAACTGCAGTATTAAATCAAACAAGCAGAACATTTCCTTAGGCAGCCATTGCCTTTTAATTTCCTGAAGAACCTTAAAATATCATTCATTACAAGTACTACACATATTTGGTTTTTAAAAGTCTCATAAATCAATAGCGGGCTGACTGTAATAATTATTACAAGTTAGTGCATAATTTTCGCGCTGAAGGCTGAATGCAGAACTTTAGCATATGCAAACGAGGCAATTCAAACTGTGTATAGATATTAATATGAAGAAGCAGGTAACGAGGTGCAGGCTATGAATTATGCATCAGGAGTGGCTGATCTTCAATGAGGAAAATGAATTCAGCATGTAATCTAATTAGTGATGGAAGTCTATTACATCTAACTGCAAAAGCAACCGTCCTTGAAACAAATTTATTTACAGTCCATGTTACCACTTGAAACAACTTTGAAATGATGTGTCAGACAACAGCTTAATTGTAAAATTTTTTGTTTGTTTGTCTCAGTTCCAGACCTGGAAGGCCTCCTAAGAGGACTCAAAGTGTCACCTCCCCAGAGAACTCTCATATCATGCCGCATTCTGTCCCTGGCCTCATGTCTCCTGGAATAATTCCACCAACAGGTAAGGGTATGATTATTTATGCCAAAACATTAACTATCAAACAACATCACAGATTTTATACATACCCATCATTACAATGATATTTTCATGCTTTGGTTTTATTTTGCAAACAATAAATACTTTTCTGATAAGGGAATATTTTAAAAATGCATGACGATTACAATGATTTCCTTTGTGAAAATAAAATAAAATGAGCTTAGTTGATTAAAGTTCTAGAAGTCATTTGAATTACCCACCATGAATTTCATAAAAGAAAAATTACTAGTCCTAAGATTTTTTTTTTAAACTAAAAATTAGAAGCTCAGAAAGAATCAGTAACTTCTCAAGGTCAGTTACTGAGAGCATCAATGATTATTCAGACTCTCTTGTCTTGATCCTGAACAAATAACTCAGGAATACAGATAAACATGTAAAAGTAAGACAAAAATACCCAAAATTAAGAGTTTTCAAACATTTCCACACATTGTATACTTAGTGACCATAAACCATAATAAATTCCAGCTTATTTGACTTATGTCACTTGGATATGTTTGTTAATTCTGTTATGTACTTTTCTATGTTTGTGCTCACTTTTGGTTTTTACCAGGAAAGAGTCAGAGCTATGAGATTAACATATATCACACTTGCTTAAGGAGGGAATACATGTCTGTTATGCAACACAACTAAAACAACAGAAATCTGTTAAGAAAAAAAAAAAGATAGAGATTTCGTTTTACCTTACATTCATAGCACAGCTGGCTACAAACTTGAACCTTCAGAAACATTGAGTTAGAGGTTTGTACCACCAACCCAACTTAAGCCAAATTATTTTTTTCTGAACATCTATCAGTATTTTCTTCTCCTTTTGAATACTTTCTATTACTACAACTGTTGTGTTAAAGTTCCTTCAACTTAGTGTTTATTCTAATTTTATATCAATATTTGAAACTCAATTTAGTGAATATTTATCATGTATATTTTCTGCTTATATTAGCCTATTTGTATATATAGTACTATTCTTATCAATGTTCCAAAATGTTCATTTTATACTGTATGTATAAACAAATGTATGGGTGTAAATGTGATGTGAAGTCTATATGTATGGTGTATATGCTTGTGTTGATGTGTGTATGTGAGTGTGTGTGTGTGTGCATGCATGTAGGCCAAATGATGATATTTGGTGTCAAATTATATCACGTTTGCCCTATTCCTTTGCACTCTCTTACTGAACTTTGAGTTAAGCTGGAGGTCAGCAAGCCCGCTCATCCTTCTGTCTCATTTACCCCCAAATATTGGGTGGTTGTTGGGTTTTTAACTCAGGTCCAACTACTAGTACAGTAAACACTTCTAATCCATTGTGGCATCAATTCCCCTCCAAATAGTTGAAATTACCATTGGGATTAGAGTTTTTTTTTTTTTTTTTTTTTTTTTTTGCTAGAAATTTTATGTAGAAAACATTTTATTAATTTATATAGGAATTAATAGCCCCAAATGACCTACTTGACAGCCAAGATTTGTCTTTGCCATTTCTTTAGGCCACTGCTTCTCACAATAGTGAATCCCACTGTCCAAATTCATAATCTCAGATCTTACAATTTTAAAAGAAATTGGTAGTATAAAAGTTGATCAAATCTCCTGTTCCAGTCACTATTTTTCTCTGTTGTTGGCACAAATGCCCAAGCAAAGCACCATAGAAGGAATTACTTATTACATGTTGGGGTCTCAGTCAGATCTCAGTCAGATTTACATCCTGCTGTTTCTAGGTCAGTTTAACTCACAACATTGTTGGAGAAGGGTGGTAGAAGGAGTTGCTCACTTCCTGGTGGTAGCCTGGAAACAGAGAAGCAACACTGAGCACACTTGTTTTATAGTCTTGTTTCTGTTCTACTAAACTCTGGCCCAAATTGTAGACTGCAGTATGTTGAATGGGGTGCATCTTGAGTGTAGTTTTTCTTGTGCTGTTAACATAGATTACACTCTTAGCTCTGGAGACACCTTCACAGACCAAGGCACAACGATGTTTCCATGACACAGGTGACTCAGTCCAGTCAAGCTGGTAAAATTAACCACCACACTGCTCTTTGAAAGTTTTGTTGTCTTTTAGATTATATGGAAAATTTAACATTGGATTTGTTTTATAGCTGAGATAAAATGTGATGGGAGAATGACCTGAGCACATGTGACATAAATAATTTCACATGGAGTTTTCTAATGAAAAATTTAAGTAATATTTTTATGTATTTAGTACACTTAATTGATTGTCAGAAGTTATTTAATCACAGAATACAATTGTGCATTTTATTCATTTATTCAAGATATTCTTCTAATGTTGCCCTAAGTAATAATTAAATAGATGATGCCTTCAAAATCTCAATGGAGCAATGCACACATAACTTCATAAAATAACTTCACAGTAATTGAAGAGAATAAAAAATGTTCAAAAAATATAACCCACAAATCATACATTAAGTTACCTTTGAAAATACATTACACATTATTGGATGAATAGAGACATGAGAGATAGTTCCAACTTGATTCATCATTAGATATTTATTTTTCACATCAGCTCATTTTTATACATTTTAGTAGTGATGCCATTCTTCTGAGGAATGCTTTGATTCACTTTCTTCTTTGTAAGTTATTATTGAATCCATAAACAAAACAAAACAAAAACAGGATTTTCATCAAGCTTACTGAGCATTGCACTGATAAGTTAGCGGGTATGGCCCATGTGGAGGGTAAACTGGAGGAGGTGGGCAGTCTGATGTAGTTAAGTAATCTCTAGAGCCCCAACATGGCCTGTGAATAGTTCATCTATCTTACTATAACTTTGTTTACCTATTTTTTTTTCATCTTTTAGAAAATAGTCCTAAGATTTGAAGTAAGCAGGCTATGAATGTTGTTCTCCAATGATGTTACCTTAATGGAGATGATTTAATTACTCTTTTCACAAGTCCCGCCTCCCCCCCCACCCCCGGCCCACAGCCTAGGAGGAATTAAGGATTTTAGCAAACATGGGATCATATCTCCACATATGAGAGCATAATATTTTCTATCTTACTAACTGGAGTTTGAAAATAAAAATTTTGAAAGATATGGCAAGCATGTTCCTGCCATGAATACACCCACCAAAGTACAAATATACCAACCTCAAACTGAAAAGAAAGATTCAAATGGTAAAGCTACTGGGTTTCAAATCCTAAGCTTCAAGTTGCAGATTATTAATGAACATCCATCTTTCCTTGTATCCATAGAAGTAACTTTTCATCTTTTAAAACACTGAAATTTTGTTCAGCCTGCTCCTGTGAAAATAAGATCTATGAAATTTGAAGAATTTATAGATATCTATTGATTTCTTGCTAGTCACTCAATTACTTTTAGTTTTAGTGACTGATCCTTAGAACGTAAAAGCATCTGTTTTCTCAGAAGAAAATGATAATATACATTAAAATATTAATAACTTGGATATTTATAGTTAAAAAGATGAAAAACATACCAAATAGGAAATTAAAAACCCTGTGACGTTATGTGTGGTAAATTTGCCTGTTGATAATTTTCTTTGCTTGAGTGGGTTTGCATGTAACCTTAGGAGAGGATGTGGGTTAGGTGGTCATAATGTTCAAAAGTTATTGCTATGACAAAATGCCTTAACAATTTGAAGTTGCAGTTCATGAAAGGAAGGAGCCTTTTTGTAGTTTCTCACAAGGCGACATACCTCCTGCAGTAGTCACTACATTTATCCTGACTGAGCACTTGCCATAAATCATTTTTGAAATATGCACCAGTTTGGAATAAATTCATCCTAGCAACCGAGCTCTAATAGCATTCATACTTTTTATAGTATTGTGTCTATTATGCAATTAAGGAAAGGATATTTAGGAATTTAGAATACCCCTTTCTTTGTGCCAGAAGTGCAATTTGGATAGTATATTCAGCCAACTTCTTGATTTCATGTTTAGGTTAAAATGCAAGCTACTTTTCAAATATAATCTCTGTATCAGTATTAAGTAATAACATATGAATACCTAATACTTGCATTTTATATTAAAAGAAAAGCTATTCAGTATTTATTTTTCAAATATCCTCAAAGTAAATTGATTGACTCATATTTGCATCTGGGACATTGCTTTTTCTCTAATTACAACTTTGTAGATAAAAGCAACACACATTATGAGTAAAAATAAGTAAATAAATAAAAGCCATTAGCCACACAGTAACATACACTATGTCTGAAAGTAAGCATTTATACCTTGCAAATTCTTAAATTTTGATAATTTGCTAGGTCAGGACAATATTAATCAATGCTTAATTCAACTGAAACATTTATATCCTACAAAACAAAACAACATCTCCCCTACCACAAAAACAGTTTTATATTAAAACATTCTTATGAATTAATGACATAAAAATTTACTTTTGAGGTTTGTTCCCTTTATTTTTTCCCTAGGTGATATTAATAATTAGCATAAACTCCCAAAATACTCTTTTCACAAAGTTGGCATCTGCAGCATTTTAAGGGCTTCTTAACATTCTTCTTCTGGCTTCTGAAATAGATGAACCTTTCCTTCTATGCTCAGAAATTTATTATAGCAAACTTATTCAGTGTGGTTCCCTGGTAGGATCACCTTTTAAGCAGAACCATTTGATTATCTTACTTAAAAAGTAAACTCGACATAAACTACTTAAAATGCTAGTGTTAACACAGCGTAGAATATGTGTGAATTTAGTGTTCATATGCAGGGAACATTATGACTGGATCCCTCAAGGGTATCACATGTCCTGTGATAGAGGTCTGCCTTCAGGTTTATTGGAGAGAAACATGATGAATATGTCTTCTTTGCTTCTTTTTTGGCAGGCTAATGTGAACACTGGGGCCTTTTGTAATTTACTGAAGTTTTAAAACTTGAGACAAAAACTCCACTCTTTTTCATGGGGAGGCCACCTTAACAAATTACTACAACCTTAATGGCATAGAACTGAACTTTGTCCTCAAGGTTTGGAGGCCAAGAGTTCCGGTTCAG